TTTTTGGTTTTTCTGCGGTACCGGGAACCGAACTCACGACCTTGCGCTTGCCAGGCAGGCGCTTTTGCCGCTGAGCTAAATCCCCAGCCCTAAAGGTCCTGTAAAGCCTTTCCCTGGCTGGCTCTGTGGTGGACCGGCAAGGCTGAGGAGCTGGCGAAGGCTCCGGCAGACGGACCCTCCCAGTGTGTCCCCATAGGGGCTGTGCAAGGCCGGCCACACTGCAGAAGGTTCTGGGTTCCAGCCCCATGTATGTGTAATCTGTAGACTGAGCCTGTGACCCTTGTAATGCTTTTCTGCTTGTTTTTCTCCGCTGGCTTTCTGCAGCTGCATGCCTACCTCAGGTGTGGTTTCTGCTCCTCTGCCCTCAGCTTTCCCTGTCTTTGTCCAAAAGCCGCATGGACGATTTCAGAGAAACTCAGCGGCTGCCCCGGTCTTTTCACGGGGCGCGGTCTGGGCCGTGCGCTGGGGTTGCTGTGTGCTCGCTGTGCTCCCGCTCCCGCTTCAGGCCCCGTGTGTGACCCTGACCATCAGCTCTCCGCCCTGCGTCTCCCCCTCACCCCGGATCACTCAGGGGACGCTTGGGGACAGCCATGGGCTGGGGTCCTCAGAAACGTTAGGCCTCAGTCACCACCTGGAACGGGTGCCTCGGCCTCATGCCCACAGAGAAAGGCCGACACGGGCTCAGAACCTGTGAGACGCAGCTCCTCTCGCAGAGCCATGACGACCAGTGGTCGGGCAGCACCCACCCATGCTGGCCATTTACCTGAGCCAAAGCAGGAGGCAGACATTTCCCTTCCGTGTTATGGGTGTGAAGACCGACACAGAGGGGAGGGTTTGCTCAGTGTCAAAGCTGGGACGGGCTGGCGGGAAGCTGAACTGCCAAAGCAGGCAGACGTGGCTAGCCGGTGTGCCTCGCTCGAGCGCGGCTCTCCTCCCGTCGCTCACGTGTGCTCCCCAGGTGGCTCCGCTATCGTCCCTGCACTTTATTTGCTAATCTTTGTACCGTCTGAGAAGAACACTCGTAGCTGACTGCTAGCCTTTCCTCTTTCCTACTGCACGCATTTAAGGCTGTACATTTCCCTCTAAACATTGCTTTAGCTGTGCATAACAAGTTTGATATATTCAATCTTCATTATCATTTAGTTCAGAATATTTTCGAATTTCTTCTCTGGTTTCCTCCTAACCTATGGGCTGTTTAAGGCTGCTGCTTCATTTCTAAACAGGGGAGAGTTTTCTAGTTTTTTTCGTATTACTGATTTCTAGGTTAAATTTGTTGTAGTCAGAAACTGTGGTCAGATTTTAACCCTCTGAAATTTGCTGAGGCTTGGTTTGTGACCTACATGTGGTTAATTTTGGTTACAGTCCCATGCACACTGAAAAAATAATGCAGAGTCTTCTTAGATATATCAAAAGCACAATGACAAAAGATAGAATGAACTGGAATTCATTAAAATTATGAAATTTTTGTGATTGAAAGGCCATGACTAAGAAAGTGAATAGGCAGCCCATGGAATGGGAGAACATAGTTGCCAATCATTTATCTGATAAGGGACCTATAGCCCGGATGGTTTTGTAATAAAAAGACAAAGAATCCCATTTAAAAGTGAGCAAAAGACTTGTGCAGACATTTCTTTGAAGAAGTTATATAAAGTGCCAATAAGCACATGAAGAGATGCTCAACGTCATTAGCTACCAGGGACATGCAAATCAAAACTGCAATGAACCCTGGAGTGGGAATATACACCTATGATCTCAGAATTCTGGGAGGCTGAGGCAGGAGGATCAAAAGCTTGAGTCTTGCCTGGGAAACTTAGCAACTTAGTGAGACTCTGTCTCAAAATAAAACTTTTTAAAAGTGTTGGGGATGTAACTCAGTGTGAAGGCCCTGGGTTCAAAAAATAAAATACTATAATGAGCTATCACTTTGTACTTGCGGGTATGCTATAATCAAAAGACAGAGGACAGGGGCTGGGGATTTAGCTCAGCGGCAAAAGCGCCTGCCTGGCAAGCGCAAGGTCGTGAGTTCGGTTCCCGGTACCGGAGAAAAACCACAAAAAAAAAAAAAAAAAAAAAAAAAAAAGACAGAGGACAAGTACTTTTTTTTTAGTATTTGGGTTGAATCCATGCTAAACAAGCCCTCTGCCACTGAGCTACACCCCCAGAACTTTGTATTTATTTTTAGGCCACGCTACCCTTTTGCTCTGTTAACACATTCAGCCTGTGGCACCCCTTTGTCAATGTTACCGTTCCCATTTTTTTTTTTTTACTGTTCCCATTTTAATTTAGTTTGTTTTGGTACTGGGAATTGAACTCAGGACCTTGCACTTGCCAGGCAGGCACTGGTGCCGCTGAGCTGTACCCCCAACCTCTGTTCCCACTTTAAAAGCTGGAGAAAATGAGTTCGTGGGGTGATTTGGTCAATTAGTGCAGTGCTGGGGCTTGAACTCAGGTCTGTGATGTCTCATCGTCTTTTCTCCACATAAGGTTGCCTCTCACAAGCTTTCTAAACCCTGGGAGACGTGGCAGCAATGAATGCTAGTTGAGCTGGTGAAAAGTCACTTCCATTCACTAGTGGGGGCAATTAACTAAATTAATTATTTGTGGCAAACAATTTGGCAATATAAGACCATTAAAATGGCCATGCCCTCTAGTTCACTATTAATTAATTCTCAGAATCCAGTCTCATCTGTAGAAGCAGCTGCTGAATTCGGAGGGGAACAGCATCTCCCTTTGAGGAATTCCTCCTGCTGCAGGACTTCAGCACCCTGTTCACACCCCAGGAGACCAGCGAGCCCCCTCCCCTGGCCGTGTGACACTCAAACACACCACAGACATTTCCAGGTAATGCATGTGATGGGGCATTACTACTCCCAGGATATTTTTTATTTTTTTAAATTTTATTTTTATTTGTTCTTCTGGTACTGGGAATCAAACTCATGACCTTGTGCTTGCCGGGCAGGCACTGTGCTGCTGAGCCAAATTCCCAGCACCCCCAGGATATTTTCTAAAGCAACGGTACCATTTTTCATTCCTATCAGCTGTAGATGAGGGTTCCAGTCTTTCTAGATGTTCACGAAGCTCTTTTTTGGGGGGTGATACTGGGGACTGAATGTAAGGCCTTCACACTGAGCTCCCTCCCCAGCTCTTTTTCCTACTTTTTACTTTGCGATAGGGTTTCACTACATTGCTGAGCTGCTCAGGTACATGTTTTCTGTTTGCTTGCTTGCTTGTTTGGGGCAGGGTCTCACTGTGTAGCTCAGGCTGGCCTTGAAGTCATTATGTAGCTCAGGCTCAGCTTGAATTCGAGGTGATCCTCCTGCTTCAGCCTTCTGAATGCTGAGATTACAGGTGTGGGCCACTGTACCTTGGTTGTTTTGGTTTTTGATTGTTTTTTGACAGGGCCTCACTATGTAGTTCAGGTTGACCTTGAACTTACTATGAAGCCAAGGCTGGTCTCAAATTTGTGATCCTTCTGCCTCAGCCTCCTGAGTGCTGAGTGGGAGACACAGCAGGAGGCAGGACTCAGGTGGGGCTCAGGCCTTGTGTGAGGTTGTACACTTCCTGGTGATGCTCACTGGCCCGGCCTGCAGCCGTGTTGCCTGTAGTTTCCCAGGCCATGACCCGCAGGCTGCCAGCAGCTGGGATGTCCAGGTTGTTTCTTCCTGCCATAGGTATAGACTGAGCACCCAGGTGGCCAGCACCCGCCAGATGACACTGCAGTGATGAGGACAGCTGTGCCTGCCTTCATGGGGTGACGTCACTGTGTGGGAAGGCAGCTGTAAAGGAAACAAGTCAGTTTTCTGAGGAGGTGACATCTCCGCTGAGGACTGAACAGATGGAATGACTTGGACAGTATGTTCTAGGTCGCAGGGACACAAATGCAGTGGCCAGGAAGTGTGCACGGGAGAGGAAGCCTGGCTAGGGCACATGGAGGGGAGGAAATGGGAGGGGACAAGATAAAAATAGGAGTTGGGTATGGTGGTGCACACCTGTGACCCCAGCACTGTGGGAGGCTGAGGCAGGAGGATCACAAGTTTGAGTCCAGAGAGAGTAGAGGACAGATCTCTAAGGGCGTTAGCCAAAAAGAAACAGCCTGCATCAACTATGAAAGGATAAACAGAAAGTGGTGTTTCCACACAGTGGGGTATTATTCAGCCATAAAATGCAATGTAACAGAAAACAGAGCAAACATGGGAAGAGACGGCACCAAGCAGGTTTAGGAGGCAGTTTATTACACCAGTGGGCCTGACTGGGAGCCCTCCCAAAGAGTCAGAGCCCCACCTGGCGGGGTTTTGGGGCTTTTGCCGCTGAGCTAAACCCCCAGCCCCCCACTGGGGCCTTTGGACCACTCGGTTTCAGCCTGACTGCTGGAGAGACGAACTGAGCGCTCGGGTCACCAGGCCCGCACCCGCTCCCGTGAGACTGGCCCCCCAAAGCCTTCAGGGCGCCTTCATGGCCAGACCCTGCACACTGCCACGCACTGCTGAGATAATCTCGCAGGACGCTAGGGAACCAGCGAACGGAGGGCGGTCTCGGGGATCCTGCAGGGTCATTCTCTGGCCCTGCCGTGTGCTGAGTGCTGGGGACAAGAAGCTGGGTGAGCTGTGAGTGTGCGCCGGGTGGTTCTGGATGCGAACACAGCCGCAGCAGCGCAGGGCGCGGTGGGGGGAGGGCTGCTGACCTGCCAGTGAGGGTGAAACAGAGCCGATGCTGAGCGCCAGCCACAGTGAGCGGGGCCGTGCCAGGAGGAGGGGGCTTGCCGTGCCAGCTGCCGTGGGAGGCGTGAGAAGGGCCTGGATAACGGACTGTGAGGGGCGAGCGCGGGGCCTGGGGCCCGGCCAACAGCTGGGAAGCCGAGTGACGCTGGTGGAGAGTGGGACCGTGCACGGCTTCACGGAGACATCTCACCAGCGTCCGGATCGAGCAGCTGCCCCAGCTCCTACTTTGCCTTTGTCTGGAGCACTCACATAGCTCAGCTCGTGTCTTCAGAAGGAACCCGGTCACCTGGTTGTCTCCGATAGGACTCCTGGACCCACAGAGACACAAAGAGCTACAGTTGAAGCAGAATCAGTGTTATTACCGGGGATGTAGCTCAGCAGCACAGCGCCTGCCTGGCAAGCATGTCATGAGTTCGAATCCCAGCACCAAAAAAAAAGTACGAATCAAAAAGGCACAGAGCCATGCGTGGTGGCAGCCCATGCCTGTAATCCCAGCACTTGGGAGGCTGAGGCAGGAGGATTGTTGCAAGTTTGAGGCCAGCCTGGGCTACAAAGTGAGCTCAAGGCCAGCCCAAACTGCATAGCGAGACCCTGTCTCAAAAAGACCAAAAAAAAGAAAATCAGTGCTATTTAGGAATAGGGTTGCCATGGGAATGACAGAAGAATGCAACAGGAATACAGGTGCCATAATAAACTATACATACTTGCTGGGCGTGGTGGCACGCACCTGTAATCCCAGCACTTGGGAGGTCGAGGCAGGAGGATCAGCTGAGGCAGGAGAATCATTGTGAGTTCGAGACCAGCCTGGGCTACAAAGTGAGCTCAAGGCCAGCCTGATCTGCATAGAAAGAGCCTGTCTCAAAGACACAAAACAAGGAAAACCCAAAACCGGGGCTGGGGATTTAGCTCAGTGGCACAGCGCCTGCCTGGCAAGTGCAAGGTCATTTCAATTCCCATTACCGGAAAAAAAAAAAGAAAAAAAAAAAAAAACCAAAAAAACACAACCCAAAACCAAAATAGGAACAAAACTATGCACAAATTCAAACAGATCGAGGCAAAGGGAAGTTTTTAAAGGCAAAATGAGGAGGTTACAGAGGATATTTTGAAATAATAATCTTTGGTAACGGTGATTCATAAAGGTGACATAAGTAGAGGCTGAACATACAATTGCTGGGCAGAGTTCCTCTAAGTACTGGGATTTAAACTATATCCCCAGCTGAGTTTTTTTTTTTTTTTTTTCCTGTACTGGGAATCGAACCCACAACCTTGCGCTTGCCAGGCAGGCGCTGTGCCACTGAGCTAAATCCCCAGCTCCCCCAGCTGAGTTCTTGCTAAATTGTCCTGGCTGGCCTAGAACTTGCCATCCTCCTGCCTCAGCTTCCTGAATGCTGGAATTACAGATTTGTACCCCTACACTGTCACATCTGTCCCAGCTCTTGAAGTTTATTTTGGGAAGGATGGAGAAATAAAGACAGGAGTTAGATTACATCTTCTTTTTTTTTTTTTGGTTTTTCTCCGGTACCGGGAACCAAACTCACGACCTTGCGCTTGCCAGGCAGGCGCTTTTGCTGCTGAGCTAAATCCCCAGCCCCGGACAGGAGTTAGAGTACAGAGAGCTGAGGTCCGGAGGAGCCCTCTCTCCAGATGGGAGAAAAGGAGCTGCTCAACCCCCACAGTGCATTATTTGCACACTCTGTGGGTTGGTGTCATGTGACACCCCCTGCCTAGCAACCTGTTTGTTTGGATTGCCTGGACTGCCTGGTGTCTTCTGGAAGGGAGCAGCTTGTTTACGTGGCTTGCCTGGGGCGCTCTTTGTCTTTAGGCCTGGCCTTGCTCCAGCCCCACTGTGACTGATCTCCACCTTCAGGTGCTCTGCAGGTCTCCCGCATCTGCCCTTTTCTGTTTTGTAGTTGTAAGCGATGTATTCTGTTGAATTGGAGGAGCTGTGTTTGGATGACTCTGCAGAAGACCTTTTTATACTTGAACACTTTTTATTTTGAGTGAACTTACTCATTTAGACTCAAGGTTTTTAGTCTAAGGATCTTAAGTCCCTGAATTTGGCAGTTTAACTCTATACAGCCCATGAGTCCATAACAGTATTCAGTCACCAGTGTAGCTGGCAACTGTCAGAAAGTGTTAGTGATTTGAGTATTGTTTTGTAGCTGGCATATTGCTATGCATTGTTTTATACCTCTTGAAAGTTTTTTTTTCATAGCATGTTTAAGACCAAGTTAAAGGGGCTGGGGATTTAGCTCAGCGGCAAAAGCGCCTGCCTGGCAAG